AAACTTCTCATTCGTCGGTAAAAACTTTGCATGCCAATAGGTCTTCCGTGTTCTGCAAACCATTCATTTGCAATGGATCTGGTAGTGAAGAAACGGTCCCTTAAGGCCAATAATCTTAGGCGGCGATCTTCACGGTCTGTTGTTCTACGGCGGCGTCCAGTGCCCCTTGCTCTTTGCGTACGGCCTTCTCGAAGCCATGCCTGACAACACCTAACCACAGTGTCTACACTTCTTTGCACTCTAACTGCAATTGCCCGAAAAGAAAGTCCAGCTTCCCGAAGTCCCACTATACGACCCCTATCAAACTCACTAAGTTGACGAAATCGTACAGGTCTCCGTACTCTAGGCATCGTAACCGATCGTAAAGGATGTCAAGAACCAAAATCCGCCAACGTTGATTCTTTACTGCGGCTGAAATATTCATTTTTAGAGCGTTAGTGAATTAACAAAAAAGCAGTATAAAAACCGGAATATCCAACTGATAAGGCTGAACATTTTTTCACTTGTTATTTACAGTAAGATAAATACATTCACCAACTTTTATTCAAATAAAACCATTTAAACTTATTTATATGTCACTTAGTATAATACGTAACTTATATTTCTTGCTAAGCTGAAATTCTAGATAAATCACTTAGCCAAGTAAAGTATGTTGAAGATTAAAGACTAAAAAATTTGTATCTTCTTATTTAAGCTGTCATTCTCCTTAATGCAATATAGGTGACAATGTTTTTCAGTCCTGCCAAACTGTATAAATGAAAGCAATAAGTGAAGATGAAAGGTCAAGCTATTATTAGACACAAAGATGATACTATGACTAATATTGTTTTAAACTGCTTTTTTATATTACTCAGAGTACAGAAATTAAAAAGGATACGCGTTAATTTTTTACACAAGTATTGCAAAACGAATCAATGAATCCTCTATAAAGAAAAATTAGGATTGAGTCAAGTTGCCTATAGGATCATCTCCAGGAGATTTCCAGAAACAATATTGTAAAGATTATCTGACAACTGGATTAGGAGTTAATTAGTCCTCTAAGCTTGAACATTTCCAAACTTTTTACAAACCCTGTATGTCCTATAGTGGATCTTTCGCGCACAGCAGCTTAGCCCAAAAAACATACGAACAACAGAGGTGAGATGATTTATAGTAGAAAATCTCGTACACAACTAAAACGCACAGAACATGTTTTCATAGTTTTTTTGCACCGAAACGGCCGCGCAGGCAGAAGCCCAAATGCCAGGATACTGCGGCTGCTATCAGGAAGCCAAAGAAATTTTGTTAATCCGATTTTTGATTAAACTTTTTGCGAGTAGACCTGGGAAAAACCTCCTCTTGTAGACTGTTCCATAATCTCGACACCTTCGGGACAATGGAGCGGTCGTATCGGCCAGTTCTGGATGTGCGAAGTTCGGCACGGTTAGGATGGGAGGCCGAAGTCAGGCACGTCTATCTGGCAGGCTCAAAGCGCGGCGGCATCATGGAGGAGAGCTCTGAGGAGAAAGGCCCGTTGTGTAGCGGTAGAAGAGGGCTAGATCGCCGACGACCCGCCAGTGCGAAAGGGTCCCGTTAGATAAGAGTCATTGTTCAGTCAGACCTCCCTCCTCTCGGAAGCATCGAGCTTAAATAATGTAGTCGGGGCGGCAGCAACCCAAACGAGTGAGAAATATACGAGGCTAGGTCTTATATAGAGTGAGGAGGTAATAGGTACCTTTACATTACACTCTTTCCTGCGGGATTGGAACGCCGCGCGGCGAAGCGTGGCGCGTCCTAATACGAATTGCTCTTAAAAATTGCAAGGGCTTATCGCACGGTTTGAGTGTGTGGCGTGGAACGGTATAGGATAAAAGTGCCAATGTAAACCAAAAACTGTCATCTTTCGCGAGTGATGTTCGTGGCATGTGGAATCTTGAAATGTTCAACAGTTTTCAAGGCGGTTATTATTTTCATAATGGATAAAATAATTAAAAAATGGAAAACAAGAGCAGATTTCTGCTTGGCTGTGTATCTAAATATTCCAAATAAGAGACAAAGAAAGCATTGGGTGAAAACGTGATTGAAAAATCGCAACGGATATGGACATTTGCCTCTGCTCCATGAGTTGCGTGATAATTTTCCCATGGATCTTAGAAATTATTTGAGAATGTATTCTGAATGATTAGGAATTTTGTTGAATTTCGTTTCTCCAATGATTTTTAAGCAAGACACAAAATTGCTTGAAAGCATAAGTGCCGAATAAAGACTAACAACCTACATTAAGATAGTTAGATGCAGGTCGTTCGCTTGGCGATTTGAAATTTTCAAGTGGAATATCCGCACTATCTTTATGTAAAATTATAACTCATGTAAAGCTATACGTATATGAAGTATTAAGAAAATCATATTTACTAATTTGTCGTAAGTAGCATTTTTTAAATTTCTGTTTGTATATTCCCGGGATTTCATTTTCCATAAGCATGGATAAGATTTATGTATTTCAATAAACTCTGAAACAACTTCTTCCAACCAATATCGTGAATCTGCCATATTACCCACCTAATAATTAACATGATTTAAATTTTGTATATGTGCAATTATCAATAAAATGCTTACCCACGCTAGAATACAACTTATGCACGATTGCCCGCGCGAAAGTAAAATGTAATCAAATGTTTTACCTGCACGAAAATCACTGGCGACGAAAATGCGAGTTTGAACACGTTTAAAAACCGAGCGATTATTTCTCATTTACACTGGCAAGCTTTCGCACAAGATGGGAAACGGGCGTGCAAAGAGTGTAAATGTAAATGTACCTAATACGGAGAAAAGTACTTCTTAGCCTTGAACCAACAGTCTAGTTTTTTACCAGCAGCTGCCGGTATTGACTCGATGATTTCGTGGCAGATCAAGTACTCGGTGATATGTACAACGACCAGTCGAAATTAACGGTCTTTGGCAGAATTCGGTTGGCCCCGAACCGGATGAGTGCTAGGACGCCTTTTGCCACCTTTCTGTGTTTTGTAAACATTAAACTGTGATAAGGTCTCTCGTAAGAGATGAAGTCGCTGTTAGTTTTCTTTCTTCCAGGTCACCGGCAGAGATCGGCTTGTCGCTCTGAATACCTGCATGTAGAGTGCCTTAATCAGCAAAGCTGTGGATTGGGTTGATCGTACAGGAAAAGAGGTCGTTGATATGTAAGAGGAACAGTGTCGGAGCCCAGACCGATCTCTGGGAAACACCCTCGTTGACGTTGTTGGATGAAGAGGAGAACCCGTCAATAACGACGGATATCCTGCGGCCAGAAAGAAAGTCAACCATCTATCTGCAAGGCTTCTCTGGGAGGTCATAGGATGATAGTTTGCATAAGAGGGCAGCGTGTCACAGCTGACCGAACGGTGTCGTGATATCTAGAGCAACGGCGTGAGCCTCACCATAAGACTGGATGAGTTTACTCCACAATTGCGTGACGTAAGCTAGGTGAATCGAGTCAGTCCAGAAGCTCGTGATTTATGCCCCTCTCCATCACCTTACTTATAACAGAAAGCAGAGCTATAGGCGTGTAGTTGTAAGGGTTGGACTTAGATCCGGTTCTTGGGAACGGTTGGACATGAGCAAATTTCAAGTTTTTAGGGAAGGTGCCGGTTTCGTAAGATATTTGGAATAGACGCAAAAGAACCATAGCGAGCTCAGCTGCATATCTCTTCAATACAACGGCAAGATTCCAGTCCGAACCAGAAGCTTTGTTGGTGTCGAGCGAGAAGATCAACCGTCTCACGATCTTATGCCTGAATGTGAATCTTACTTCCCGCATAGTGTAGGGAACCCTTTAAATCGACAGCACTCGAGGGTTGGACGGACGTCCATGGTGGAGTTGGCAGCAAAGATCTTGGCAAGCACCTCCGCCCTAGCCTTTGAGTCGGTGGTCGTACTTCATTCGACTAGAGAACTTTTAATTCGATAACAGAATCAGCATTTAATTTACAAATTTCGTCCAGACTCTCGCTGCACAGTAGCACAAAGTTGCGCCAAAAGTTTTGTCTTGTTAATACGAAATTCAAATTATACAAACCGAACTAACCACATAATATGTCACGTGAAATTGTGTCTATGTTCTATTTTCACGACAGATACAAACTTGATTTGATAAAATCGACAAAATATATCAAGAGGGTTTATACTGCACTAACTTTTCGTCCCGCTAAAGTACAAGTGGCGTCACTGTAAAATAACAAAGGACGTCGCACAAAACATTTAGAAAATCGATTTGCTTAAAAATTTTATATGATAAAGGTACTTTTATTTCTCGCCTTGTCTTGGGTCTGAACAAAGAAAGTTCATATTAACGTTGATAGTCTTGGAGATATAAGCGATTTAATATTTGAAAAAGTGCAAAGCATTCCATTTTTATCTTGGAAAAACAATATGAAAAACTAAAAAGTTTAATGTTGCCAAAGTCTCTAAATATTCTAAAACAGCTGGCAGACACGGTCTGATAACTGCAAATAGCGTCAAGTAGGTTGACTCTACACTTTTAGACTTCCCACGTAATGCCGACGTCAGAGACGTTTGGGCGATTTCTATTTTTTTCGGTTTTGGCATATGTCTACGCCGCCGCTGGACAGATTTTCAAAAGCGCCTTTCCGTCGTCGTACTAGTAACCTTGTCTAAAACTTTCATCCAAATCCGGCTATGCTTTTCCAGTTACAGAGGAGCCAGGGATTACCGGACAGACCGACATGGTGTTTTGTGATATATGTACATGTCATATAACAAACATATCACATTCTGAAATTTTTCGCAATTACAATAGTTCCTCGCCCAGTGGCGTAGAAAGTGGAAACCAGGATTTACAATAACAATACATTCAAGAGGGTTCAATTTGAATAAGATTATGAAAAACAACGAATCAGAATATTACTTATATTAAAAAATATCCGCAAATCTGAATTACAAAATATATGAGTCTTAGGAGTTACGTTTACCATTTACGTTTTTTCTTTTGTACAATCCTTAAACTAATTCAATATGTCAAATACCAAGCTCACTTTAGCTTGATTTAGATATAAGAGCAGGTACCCAAAAATAACCGGAATAGCATTGCAGTGGGCAATCTGGCTTGTTTCGTTGCTCTGTAGTCATTATTTTTGCGAGAGCAGTTTCGTGCTTTTTTCGATGACAAGCTACAGTGAGCAACGTGCAGCCGTGAAATTTTGCTTTCTAATTGGTAAAAATGCTGCTGAAACTGAAAATAGCTTACAAAGATGATACTATGGGAAAAACCCAGGCGTACGAGTGGTTTGCTCGATTCAAAAATGGCGACATGTCGATAGATGACAAACCTCGCTCTGGACGTCCATCAACTGCCCGAATAGACAAAAATGTTGTGGAAAAGATTCGAGAGTTTGTGCTTGCAGACCGTCAAGTGACAATCGATCAACTAGCCGTAGGTAGTGGAGTGTCCTAGAGTTCGGTTCAGCGAATTTTAACAGAAGATTTGGGAATGAGAAGGGTTTCTGCCAAATTTGTTCCTCGGGCTCTGACTGACAATCAAAAAGAACACCGAGGTGAAACATGTCGTGCTTTGAAACAACAGCTTGAATTTGATCCAAATTTTCTGTCAAAGATCTTCACTGGTGATGAGACTTGGTGCTACGGTTATGACCCAGAAACGAAGCAACAGACGCCATCGTCACCCCGTCCAAAAAATGTCGTCCAAATCAAATCAAACATCAAAACAATCTTGATGTCAAAGGCGCAGTCCATTCCGAGTTTGTTCCCCCAGGTCTCACTGCCAATCAGACCTTTAATTTGGAGGTTCGGCAATAAAGACCCGATTTGTGGCAGTCAGGAGACTGGTTCTTCCATCACGATAATGCACCTGCGCACACAGCCATCTCTGTTCGACAGTTTCTGGCGATGGTTCCATTGCCTCACGCACCTTATTAGCCTGACTTGGCTACGTGCGTCTTTTCTTATTTCCACGGATGAAAAGGAGTATGAAAGGACGCCGCTTTGTCGATACTGAAGACGAGGAGCTGACAGACATTTTTAAGGAAGACCTCAAAAATGTTTCGGGCAGTGAAAGCATCGGTGGGACAGGTGTATTAGTTGTAGTGTACAGTATTTTGAAGAAGATAAGGTTACTTTGTGAAAAAGTTGAAAATAAATAGCTTTTAAAAAATAATTCAATTTTTTTTGGGTACCTCCTCGTATGTACTTTCACGAAAATCTGACACGAGACATGATACAACTAGATTTCCTGTATCTTTTCTGTCATATAAATGTCTGTTTTTTTGGTCTCACTCATTTAAAGCTATGATAAACTACAACAATTCTTCTAAATAAAACATTCTGTTTGTACGTTATACCCAATTTTTTAAACCGCTATATCTGACTACAAATACTGTTACAACTTGCTTAAAACTATAACAGGTATGGAAATAGCTGAAATCAGATATAGTACACAATAGTTATGTAACTAATCTCTTAGAGTATCATAAATAATTTATGAATCACATTTCATATCGTTTGCGTTTCACGAGAGCTCGCAGCCGTTTCAAGGTCATCATTGTAGCGCTGAAGTGAACTGAACCTTCAACCCAAACAAAAGACATATATAAACTTTATGTTCTCGCTAATATGGTAGGTCGTGACTTTATTTGCGCCAGGAAAATTTACGCCTAGTTATAAACGTAGTGTACAGGGATTTCCTGAGCATACGAAAAAGTATTGAGGTCCTATTCCGCCGCATATTTTAACAATATTCATGTTTTGATGTTTTTTGAAGGTAACTGCCAGACTAGTAGTAACCTTGCAATAAGTTATAGATGTGCCAGGGACAGTCAGGCCGAGGAAAATAAGTGACATGTCTTTTCGTGATGTTATATAACATATCCAAAAAACGGGATATCATTTTCAAAATTTTTCACGATTACAGCCGGCATTTGAAAAAATTAACCTCTAGAAACTGAACGCCATGATGCTTATTTTCTTATATATTGATAATGTTAATTTTATATTTTTTCTTTTGGAAAAAGTACTACTCAAATGACCTTCAGTCACAACATGAAACAGAGCAATAAGAACTCCTAGCTCTAAACTGCGAAAGACCTGAAAATTATCTGGATTCTCAAATTTGATACATTTTCAAAGTGCCGGTTGTCGATAATGATCACAGATGACCCACAGAAATTAATTTAGGGTTCTTCATAACTTACATGATGACTCTTAAAGAAAATAGTAAACAGAATGGAAGACAAAATAATCATTATCCTACTGCGAAATCATAACATTCGCGGCGATCAAGCTGAATCTGATGCAGATATCTAATAATAATAATAATATAAATGTTGAAATGACTGCTAGCTTAGAGTTTTATATTATACAAATAGTATATCCTACGTAGAAAATTACAACCATTCAATTTTTTGTCGGATTACCTAGACCTGTATAGGTTTCCGTTTCAAGCTTGGAGGCCTCTCAGCATTATCTTGATGCTATAAGGCAGATACCACCTGAAACAAAGAAAAAAATCACTCCATATTCTTGCAACGCAAACACGTATTTATTAAATAGACCAATTTATCACTACTTAAGCTAATTTATAACGACACTTATTATAACAGATTTATGACTAGTCGCAGGAAGGAGTACTAGCACAAGCTTTGTCAATTTATCATTATATTTCAGCTATAAAACATGCTTGTCTGTCTACGTAGAAAATGACAACACTTTTAACATTTTTGGTGAGTGTGCATACGAGTATACAGTTTATTGTTGCATAACTTTAAGATTCGATAGAACTTTTAAAATTAATGCATAAAGTCTATATAAACATGGGTCGAAAAATGCGTGGCTTCCGAAATACAGGGTGTTTAAATTTACTTTCTAAAATAGTTTTTTTTTTAAATATTTCGAACAATATTTGATGTATAACAGTGAAAATTGGTATACAAGGGTTTTTTGGTACGAAAAAACGAACCATGGGCATAGTTTTACCGTAGCCGCTAGAGGGCGCTCTCTACTGTACCTGTAGTGTATTAAAATGACAGAAAAATTTTTCTTAGTGCAATTTTTTGCTTTTTGAATAAAAAACTGATTCTTTTCTTCTTTTGAAATTGAAAGCAGAATAAGGTTAAACGTCAATTAGTTGAGAGTTAGTTTTGTTGTCTGTTGAAACCTGAAACGTTTTTTGCAATTGTGAATGCACAAAATTTAGTTTCTTTTACCTGTTTTTTTTTGTAAGTTTTATAAAATGCCATTTTTATTCTCCAATCAAGAGTTAGCGGATATTCATTTTGTGTATGGCTTTGTAAATGGAAACGCAGCAGAAGCAGCCAGAGAATACGCACGAAGATTTCCAAACAGACGACATCCAACTCGCTCAGTATTTGTAAGAGTGCTTCGCCAAATAATTGTAAATGGTTTTGGAAATCTCCAAAGGGATCAAAACATAAATGTTCGTCAGCGCAGATTTACCCGTATGATTCTGCGTGAGTTTGATAGAGATCCGACCACAAGTGTTAGGAGAGTTTCTGGTGCCTTGGGAATTTCAGCAAGCCATGTTCACCGTGTTCTTAGAAATGACCATAGACGTCCTTACCCGTGCAAGGACTACAGTCAGGGGATGGAGAACGAAGAATCACATTTTGTCAGTGGATTCTTGATAGAACTGATAATAATATGGAGTTTTTAAGTAACGTTTAATGGACCGATGAGTCATGCTTCACTAGACGTGGAGTGGTAAACATGAATTTAGTGTGAATGTGTGGATTGATATCTACCGTAATCGACTATTTGGACCCTACCTTTTGCCTGCAAGGTTAAATGGTACGACCTTCTATGAATTTTTAAAGGCTGAGCATGCAAATATGTGGGATGATATATTAGATTTAATAAGATTGGCCTAGTTCCAACTTGATGGTTGTCCAGCTCGTTATTCGAGAATAGTTAGAAACTGGCTGGACGAAAATTATCCAGAAAGATGAATCGGCCGTGGGGGACCAGTCGCCTGGCCTCCACGATCCCCTGACCAAAATCCATTAGATTTCTTTGTGTGGGGATTTCTAAAAGAAAAAGTGTACCAAACTCACGTAACCACAAGAGATATGCTAATAGACAGAATCAGGAATGCATGTGATGAAATAAGTCCTTATTTGAATAATGCTATACCACGTTCGATCATTCGTAGATGTGAATTGTGTATTGAACAATTCGGTTTACATTTCGAGTAACTGCTTTAGATTTTGTATGTTTGTCCTAACTATCCAATATCATTTTAGTTGTAAATAATTAATTTAATTGTTAAAAATAATATTGGAAAGTTAAACAAATTAATATTCTGTTTTTTTGTGTTTATTTGGAGTTAGGAATTATTGCTGGGTTTAAAAACAGAATCGAAACGATCATCTTAATTACTTGTAATGCGCCCAAATCGAAAATGTAAAAAAAATATAATTTCCCCATACATAATTAAAAATGCATCGAACCTTAAAAATCGAAATATCTCAAAAACGGCTAACTATAACGAAAACTCACAGGAGAGCTTTTTTATGCAGAAAAGTGCGAAGAATCAGTTTTTTATTCAAAAAGCAAAAAATTGCACTAAGAAAAATTTTTCGGTCATTTTAATACACTACAGGTACAGTAGAGTGTGCCCTCTAGAGGCTACAGCAAAAATATGCCCATGGTTCGTTTTGCCGTACCAAAAAACCATTGTATACCAATTTTCACTGTTATACATCAAATATGGTTCGAAATATTTAAAAAAATCTATTTTAGAAAGTAAATTCAAACACCCTGTATTTCGGAAGCCACACATTTTTCGACTCATGTTTATATAGACTTTATGCATTAATTTTAAAAGTTCTATCGAATCTTAAAGTTATGCAACAATAAACTGAAACACCCTGTATACTTTATATAGTCGAAATCACTAAAGATGACGATTACGTCATCATTTTAGTCTGTAGTAAAGACAAACGACAGCGATTTGTCTACATTTTTAATTAAGTTTCAGATATGTTAGACAGAGACAAACATAATTTTATTGTCTAAACAAACTGTTAAAGCAGGTAAGGTTGTTTTCGAATAATACTTTGGTCTTTGATGTTCCTGTCTAAGGCCCGTATCGTCAGTCGTCCCTACAATTGGCCTCCTTGACTGTCATAGTTTTCTACTTCTCCGTGTCAGTGCTCTATTTTGAGGTTATGTCACAAACATCTATTTGCATCAAATTGTGCTTGCTTTTGAGATATACCATGTTTTATCAGCCTGAAATTTCCTACAATTCAAAAAGAAAACATATCTTCACAATAGGAGAGCGCTGATGCTGACACGGGACAAGTGTAATCTAGAAATTTTTGAAGGAGAGAAAGGAGTATGACAATCAAGGAGGCCATGAACGCGCCCTACAATTGTAGTGACGACTGACGATACGGGCCTAAGGGTGTATTCTACTGATAACTGTTTTTTTCAAAACAAAAACTTTCCACTAAAATTATTATTAAAACCATGAAATAAAATGAAAATAAAAATAATTAGTGAAATAACCTAACTTCGCAAAATCATAACATAAATTCATTGTCATAATATATGTTCCCGACATCATGATTTTATCATCGACATACGTCCATTTATTACTTCAGTATAATTTTTTATATGACGTAATAGTCATCTTTCGTGATTGTACTGTAGTAAATGCACACATCCACCATAAATTAAACTATTCTGGTAGAGGTGCCTTTTATTATACCGAAGCAGCCGCGTAGGCAGAAACCTAAATACCAGGGCAACGCGGATGCTATGAGGAACGCAAAAGAACATTATGAACCCGACTATTAATAATAATAATATAAATAATAATAATACGAATAATGATAATAATAATAATAATAATAATAATGTTTATTGGAATGTATATACATAACAACTATAAAAACAACAATATTCTAAAAGAAAAGCGGATTGATACGGACATTTTTCACCTCGCCCTAAAAAGTTAGTTTCATGAGCATTAATATAACATCAATAGAGTGATTAGCATTCACAACAAATATTATGCACAACACTGTATATAATACGATATAGTTTGAGTGTTCGTGGAAGATGGTGTAGCAACAGCTATGAATTTAATTTGTGGATTCAAATCTTTGTAGCTGTAGTAGCACTTTTTCCATCTCATTTCTGAAGTTTTGAATGGAAGGTGCTTCAAAAAGCTCTAAATAATCGTTCAACAGGTATGGTGCTCTGTAAATAAAACATTTTTGGAATTTGGACATGGTACGAACTGGGGTATTGAAAGAGGCATTGTTGCATAAGGAAACTTGGTTGAGTGAACATCTCTTCTCCAAAAAGAAATAAACAGAAAGCTGGGTAATTTATCTTTTTAAGACATTATACAGATACGCGATACTTGAATTTTAACACATCTAAGGTTAGTAGAACTGGAAAACCCCCATTTAGGTAGATTATTCTACAATCTCAATACTCAATAAATTATCATTATCATAACAATCCTTTTAATTAATATTGTTGGATGAAGAATGCATTTTAAATACAGTTATTATGGATCGCTTTCTTCAGATGGCGCTCAAAACAGGAAACATAGTCATGTATATTACACACACTTAAATAATAATTAAATAAATAAAGAGCATTTATTGCCCAACAGTTAAGGAAACCATTTACAGGACAATCCTAAAATTACCAAAAGAGAAAACGCATAAAAAGCAGGTGATTACTTCTAAAGAAAAAACAAACAGAAAAAGAAGCAGAAAAACATATTTCACATTTTCACTCAAGTGAGAAACATATCATAAACTATCTGAGCAATTTCTGGTTACTGCCAGAATGCCGTTCAAACTGTCAGCATATGTATATTAGAACAATTCGATATCGCAATGAAAGTTTCACACATCACATATATGGGTGCCTCCAAAAACAAAATTGTGCTGGCCCTGTCACAATAAAAGGTCTTAACTGTACGAGTTTGAATAGATGGAACATTAAAGCTTAGTTGAGCCACAATCCCATTAGCATCAATTTGATTGTGTAGTAATTTATCCAAGAACATGATTGATGCACACTTCTTTCTCAGCTGTAAGGACTGCATTTGAAACCTATACAATAACAAACTTTCAGATATACCACTCTCAGGATATGTACCGTCAACTTTGGAAGATACAATTTTTAGAAACTTTCTCTAAACATGCCCAAGAGAATCAATGTAGCAGTTGTAAATTGGATTCCAAATTTACAGTGCATGTTCCAATTCGGATCTAATATATGCAAAATACAAAACCAACAGTCACTCTGGGCGGCTAAAGGTTCTACAGTTTCTCACACTAAAGCTTCGCTCACCTTTTGAGCTATGTGGAGTGAAAAATTAAGTTTATGGTCAAAAACTACACCCAAATCCTTAATTGAGTTATAACGATTTATGTAAATATCCCCAATTTTATAATTAAATTTACAAGCAGAAGTTTTCTTGGAAAAGCTGACTACGAAACACTTA